AATCATGATTAAAACTGAAAAAAAACCCACAATAAGTACAAAGTGTTTGGTTTTTCTTGCTTCAGATAAGATGCTATGCAATGAACAAACAGAATAACTGACTATGCATTCTTTACTTTCTTCAATGTTTTAATGCTACATTACATTTTAAAAACCTAATAGATTATTTTTTCATAAGCATTTTGAAATCAAGCTGTTAAAATTGCATTAATCTAATGTAATAGCACACAGTGTGTACTACTCTTTTAATTTCGTGGCTGTGATTGCCACCAATAATATAATGGCAGTATGTTTACAGCTCTGATATACTAGGATGAAGCAGAAGGCCTGAAACATTTCTTAGCATTATTTCAGTATCAGTAAAGTACAACTGTAGCTGCTGGAAATATGCTGCCAATTTATTTAACTGAATGCAGTCTCGAGGTAAAACTTGGTATATTATATGTATATTCCATGTCCATTTGCTCCATTCATGATGATATTCAATTCATACTTCAATGCACAAAAAGCTAGATAATAGTGAGGGAACAAAGTCTTAATTTTTGCAATAATGGCTTGTAATGAGTAATTTGAAATGTGTATGAGAAAAAAAATTACATTGTGCCACAATACTATTTTTTACTTTGCAGTAGCCAATGAAGAAAATAACATTGCAAACCTTCTGCCCAAGACTTTGGCATTCACTGTACCCCATGATTCATAGAGTTAAAAGTCTTCAAATTTTATAAGCAAAGATCCAAAATAGCAAATACTGAAAAGTCCATCTATTTATTTTCATTGCTGTGTTTGTGGGGGAAACATATTGAGTTGGTGTTTTTGAGTAAAGTGTGATTTTTGGACTTATAATACTTATCAAAAGTGCCTAGAAGAGAGCATCGGAAATTCTAAAATGTGTTTACAGGACACTCACAGTTCTTTCCATTTTCTGTCAAAGCGAAATCTTGCTGCAGCTCTATACATTAAGCCTTTATTGGGTCTTCCGTAATAAAATGAAATAAATAAATAATCTACTGTGGATAGAGTGACTATAGATAGCAGAACAAACCAAAAAAGAAAGTGAGAGGACAAAGGAAGAATACAGACTTGAAGAAGACAGACACTGGAAACTGGGTGTAAGTGTACAGAGTCACTTATGATAACAAAAAGGGCCATGGTTATCTTGCAAAAATCATGGTCCATATCATATTCCAGTAACTACTCATGACTCTCTTCACCTGAGCATCAAGGAGATAATACTAAATAATAATAAATTAATGGAGATATCCTATCTCCTAGAATTGGAAGGGACCTTGAAAGGTCATTGAGTCCAGCCCCCTACCTTGACTAGCAGGACCAAGTACTGATTTTTGCCCCAGATCCCTAAGTGGCCCCCTCAAAGATTGAAATCACAACCCTGGGTTTAGCAGGCCAATGCTCAAACCACTGAGCTATCCCTCCCCCTGATAAACTGATACAAATTGGTATTAGTTTTACCAACTAGCTAGTGAGCTTCATTCTCTGACTAGAAGGTGTCTGAAGGTTTTCAAACCCTGGTGAAGGCTGAAAAAAAAAATCTGGAGAGAAAACTAAATGATCAAAACAGATTTAGTTTTTATAGCAAAAACACATTTAGGATAAAAATGGTAAAAAAACCACAATCATTTAAGGGAGTTTTTGGGGGGTCATGAGGTTTCCAGAGTCCCTGCAAATGTTAAATGTAACAAAGAAGAAAAAATTAAAATGTTCTGATCTCTAAAATTTGTTACTGTGCTCACTTGTGGAATGTAAGTTTGTGACATATAGTACGTGACAGTGTATCCCATGTTAGACATAGGTATCTGGGCCCATTATGTACAACAGAACCATCTATTGTCAATACTTTTGTTGAATCAATTTAACAATTGTCACAACAGTAATCAAGATTTTAAATCACATCCATAAGTTATAAGACAGAGAAAATAAATCTTTTTGAATAGTCACAAATTCTCAAAAAAGCTGAAAGCGAGGCTTAGTATTAAATTATTTATAGTTTCATAACTAGAGTCTTGAATTATATATCCTCTTGCAACAGCGAATATTTTGCATGTTATATTAGTGCTTATCTACGAATTTCATGTCCTACTGATGCTCTTTGTCTTGTGATCAGAAAACACACTGTATTTAAAAAAATAACCATCATCAACATACCTTTACTCCCTCTGTTTCAAGGCAACTCCATTCTACCTTGAATAGTGGAATTCTGTTAAAATCCCCTGTTGACATCCAAAATGCTAGGCTCTCAAGTACAGACACAGACACACGCACACATTTTGGGGCATACTGCATACTTGTGCACAGTTCAGAACTTGGAAATGTGCGTAAAGAGTGTTATCTATGCAAATTAAAAGCACCAACAAAAGAACACCGTGTTGGATATTTATACATAAAAAGCACCCATTACAGTGCATCTAAGAATACCAAATAAAAATCCCACTGATCTTAAAACCAAGTTATGAAAAGAATGCATAATGCAAAACCAATATTATTTGATTCACTTCTGTCGTATTGGGCCCAACCCTGCAAATCCTTGTTCAGACATGTAGCTCCATTGTATTCATTGGGACTACTCAAGCAGAACCACTCAGGAGTGAATATTTGCAGAATCAAGATATAAATTTGTATCGTAATGAACATATTGCCTTCTTTTAAAGAAGAAAGCATCATCAAAAATCTTCCAATATCTTTGCAAATACATAATATGCAAATTCCATATTATTACCAGTGCAATAAATTTTAAATAAGAGGTGAAATATATAGTCATTTTTTCAAGGTGAAAAAATGATTTAGATTCAACTACTGCAACACCTGTATAGCTATTTTATGTAAGAAATGAATTATATATGATTTGTGATACATTACTTTAAAAAAATGCCATCACCTAAACTATCCTTCTTTATGGTTCTCGGTCTAGAAACTGTTTTTTCTTCTATTTGTTCTGCTATGATCTATTCTCTAATCTAAATTCTAGGTGCAACTTTCAAGTCAAAAAAATTTAATGCATAAATCTCAATCTGATGCTGATCCAAGAAGGGTAAGGTTATGCATACTAAGTATTGGTTGCATTTCCATCTTACTACTTTATTGACACCACAAAAGTGAATCATTATTGGTTGATTACCGAGAGATGCTTTTAGAAATGCACTGAATTTTAAATAGTAAGTGCCCTCTTAAAAATTCCTGATGCTGTCAGCATTCATTAAATAATTATAGTGTGTTCAGATGTAATGCTTTCAGGCTATGTTCATGTTCACAGTGTGCATTTTTAATACAATTGCGCTTAGTTAAAAATATATATATGCAAGACTTAAACTTGCAAATACATTTTGCTACAGCTAAAAAGGGGAAAAACTAACTATGGCTCTAACAACGTAATGCTTCAGAATATATCCTGTTCTGTTTTTGTATCATTTCAAATATACAGACATCATCACAGTTTAGCAGAGGGGAAATAAAATTGAAGAATTTTGATAAATACATCAGCTATATTTCTACAAACAATTTAACCTACAGAAACAACAACAACATTTTGTCTGCATTCTACTGTCTATATATTTTATTATATACAAACACACACACACACACTCACTCTCCAAACCTAATGACTTTTGTCTGCTTTCTCAATATTAAGTTTGTCTTCCATAAGAATTATAACTACTTTACTTACTCAAGGGTTAATCCTTGTCATTTGGGGGGGCGGGGGGATACAAAATCATTAACGGACAGCATGTTGTTGGAAGTGGGATAGCAAGTGCCAAGATGATAGCTGGAGAGACAATTAGGAGTAGGAGAAGGTTTTTATCATTCTTAGGGATACAAACACCATTACAGATGATGAAGAGTGGAGGACAGAGGGTAAGAGAGGGTGGTGTCCAGGGGACAGACTGAGGGCCTAGAAGGATGAAGGGAGATATCACAGTGAGAGACTGGGGTAAAGGAATAATATGGAATTAGAGGAAGAGAGGAGAGAGTTAATTCAGAACATTCTCAATTTTGATTTTTTTTTAAATGATGTAATACAGTACAGAGAAGGAAGAGGTAAGGAAAGAAGTTTTAAGAAGAGAATCAAAGCCATTAAAGTGTGCAGATTGGTAGGAAACATTTCATGATCTCTCCTTCTAGGTTTCCATCAAAGTAATTGTTCCAGAATGGTACAGAACTTAAAATGAATGCAAGCTTTTACACCAATTAAGTACACTGTGTGCAAATATGCTGCAAATAGTGACAAACATTTACAGATTTTTTTAAAAAAAGTTAATAAAGGCCCATATCTTCAGCTGATACAAACCAGTGTAGCTCCACTGAAGCCAAACATCTGATGCAGAATATTTAAGTGGTCCAATAAACAAAATATTTTAAAAGGTAACAAACTTTGTTAAATATCATATCGAGCAAAACTCAACAAAAGTTAAGCTCTTCTAATATTAAGTTATGTCAGTGCATTCTTAAATGGATAATCTTGGAATAACCATATTATTTCTCAGGACTTGCATGGGCACACATCCAAGTCTTTGTTTCAATATGAAAGTTGTAATTGCCAGGGCCATATTCCGCAATCCTCCACTTATTTAAATCAATATGCCTATGTGAGTCATTACCCCAATTGAACCACCAATAATGCGAGTAACCGTTGGCAGAATTAAGCCTCCAGTCCGATTTACATGTCAGCAACAAAAGTTTGTTTCATTTACACAACATTTTTAGCTGGTTAAAATCTTGTAATTGCAAAAAATAAAATTAGTTTTGGTTAAACATACCCAATTAAATTCATCATTCGATCACTGACAATTTAAATAGGACCTTTCTCCTCCTAATATAAGCTACACAAAAATTATAATCTAAAACTCTACAGTTTACTTGAACACACAAGAGAGTTACAATAGGTTTCGATTGCTTTTTATCACCGGGGATTTAAATCCTATATTATGCGAGGTGCAAGAAGTTGTGATAAAAATACTTTTAAGTTTATGTCAAGAGACACTTACAATGAGCTCTGAATCGCGTCCCATGGAAATGACGGTTCTATTTACTGTCCTCAATAGCTTCTCCATGATTATCTGGACATGTCGCTGTGTTGGTCCCTGAAGAGAAAGGATAATCTAGTGGAAACTATCACCAAAAGACAATCAATACAACTCAAATATTGATGCTCATTATTAAAATCCATCTATCCTGTTGAAACCAAATCAATTATAACTCCTCACAACTACTGCTCAACAAGATGAAAAACAGTCTTTGTTAAAAGCAAAGACTGCACAAAGAAAATAGACTTTATTACTGGCTGCTACTGAAAGTCAATTACATAATTAGAGTAATTTAAATAAAAAGCAAATCCTTGGGGGAAAAAAAACAATGTTTATGGCATTTGGTTAGTTCACAATTTAGTTTTCCAAAGACATTTTTTTACCATTTAAAATCAAAGGTCTCTGATGAAAGTAAACATGGCATACTTAATAACAGTGTATCAGATAAATTAAACAACTTAACTAAGGCCTTTCAAAGGGATTCTCAATTGTTTCATATATATTCTGGTTTTAGAGGTGATCTGCTAGGATTTTTTTTTAAAGCATTAGAAGTGTGGTGTTGGTGTTGACTGTGAATGCCCTTTGTGAACACATTAGGGATGTATGTCCCAACCTTGTAAGAGGAGGAAGCCCCACAAAGATTGGGGGTAGGGAAGTATCACACTAATATAGGGAACTTGCTTCCCCTACTCCCACAATGTAAACATGCTCCTTAAAAGTTACTTGCCTTCCCTTGCCCTAATGCAACTGTCTTTAGGGACTACTCTATGGTTGTCAACATTTGAAATGTTTTGCCAGACAATTCTCCGAATAGGATGTGCTGCAGGCTGTTGCTGGACAGCTGTGCAAACCCTCTTGTGAAATGCTTTTTTTTTTTTTTTTTTAAATGAGTGAGAAAAATAACCCAAGGATCACCAGTTGCATTTAACTTCCAGAGTCTCCCGCTGGCCTAGGTGAAAAAGTATCCCTCATCTCCAGTACATGTATGTGCAGCTATTGTTCTGCAGCACCCAAGCTTCCTGATGGTGACAAGCTGGGACTTTCCTACTCTGTGTCCCTTCTCACCTTCTTTTCCCCACAGCTCCTCCGTCTCCCTTTTCTGCCTGCATACAGGCATCAATCATCCGGCAGCTCAGCAGCCCTCTCTCACCCAATTGTTGGTTGTCTCTCTCAGTAACAGAAGCCAGCTCCTAATTCTGCCCCCTAACCCTCATGCAGACCTTCTCAACTGTGTTCAGCTCAGCAGGTGGTGGAGCTGAAAGCCAGTAAGTACGGCTTGCTGAGAGAGATGCAGACAGCAAAAAATGGGGAGGGGCTACTGCGCTGTCAGGACAGAAACTCGTCTTTTTAATGTAATCTGCTTCCTGATGCCACAGAATCTGGGATCATAGAAGAATGCAGTTACCAAGGACAGTTTTTAAAAAGTTGGAACTTGCCCTGGCCAAAGTGTAGGTAGCTATGCAGCTCATGTATAGGAATCCAGACTCAGGCAGCAACCCTCTGGTCCAAAAATCTTTATCGCTGGCAAATAACTGGAATGGATTATAGCTCCCCACCAAAAGAGAGAGATTTGTATAGTTACTGTCTAGTCAATAAAAAATTGTAATCATGCAAATGACACACCCACAACTGCGTAACAGAAAAAAGTTGTGCAGTTTTGCATGTGTAATTGTACAGCACCTTTACATTCTGAATGGATAGGACTGTTCAACTTCCCTATAATACTCAGGCAGAAGGAAGCATTGTCAAGTTATTTAGTTATATCTTGAGAGAATTGGCTAGAGGGGGGCTGTTTTATTTTACTGAGCTGTCTGAAGAGTAACCTACTTCCCGCAGATTGTTTTTAAACGTCATAGATCACACGGGGATATGTCTGTACATTTTAAATTCCTGATAAATTGTTCATTCACACCATCAAACCAGCATTTTGGATTTTCCTATAACTTGAACAAGTCCTGTTGCTAAGAAAGTCATTTAAAGCTACTCTTTTACAGTGAGAGACTTGTAAGAGACTATTTTTTCCTGTCGTGAAATTTTCTGCTACAAATTTCAAACAGCACACTCAGTTTTTATCCTCTTTAGTTGATGAACAACTACCAAAGGACCAAAAGCTGGCCCAACAAACCAGCATCAATGCAATGAAGAGGTTGAAGAGTTCATGTTCCAAACTCATCAAACACTCCCCAATGTGGCAGGAGGTGCAAGTGCTGTGGAGGAAGGATGCTCAACTCCTGTGAGTATCTGACCAATATCTGGAGCGGTGTTATGGGATGAGCTCCAGAGGGAGCCATATTCCATTTCCTCTGGGCCAGAATAAAGGTGGTCATAAGTGAGAAATCTTGGGGCCAGAGAGCAACATGGTGAAAGAGTAAACATCAGACAACACCACCTCACCTCCGACCACCACAATAGAGGAGGAGAAGAAAGAAAAAGAAAGCAAAAACTCAGAACAAAAATAAATGACAAAAACTAAGTCGTTGCCAGCTTTACTTCATGACCACTCCTATCACTCGCAAGACATAGTATTCTTAAGGGCTAATTGGTAGGAACATCAGTTACTAACCACATCTTTCCTGTAAAGGACTTCCAGGATGTTACTAAGCAGTTGGCAGCAAGCCTCCAAGTCTTCCTGCCTTTCCAAATGATACTTCAACTGATCTGTCATCATTGGCAGCAAGATCTCCCTGCAGTCTGCACATAAAGATACAATGTTACAAGTATGTCTTACATAATTTCATAGTATACACACATATCATGTTGCAAACAGATCAAATATTTTAAACAAAACTTTCAGGAAAAAAGTTAACTTCCTGGAAGACAGAAAGCCAGACCAAATTTTGGGCAAAAGTTTAAAAACCAAAAAACCAGACAGTCATAAGCAAATGCAAAGTGACCTCTTTATAGCAGAGTACAACTGAACAGCAAAAAAATCCCTGCAGCAGTGAGTCTCAGAGCCCAGGTCAACTGAGTCAGTTGGCTCAGGCTTTGAGACTCGCTGCCACATGTCTTTTATTGCAGTGTAGACATTCCCTAGACAACCTGAAGTATAAAGATTGGTACACGCTTTGTCCCCAGGCTCCAATTCAGCAAGGTACTTAAGCATATGCATAACTTTAAACACACGACTACTTCTACTTATGATAACTACATGTATTTAAGCATTGTGATCATGCAAATGACACACCTACAACTGAGCACAGGGCACTGCATAACGGAGGGAAAAGTTGTGCAGTTTTGCATGTGTAACTGTACAGCACCTTTACATTTTGAATGGATAGGATTGTTCAACTTCCCTATAATACTCAGGCAAAAGAAAGTTAGCATTGACACAATCCGGTGAACATGTGCCCTGCAAATTAGGCTGCAAAAAGAGTGGAGAGTTTTTTCATTATGTTTTTGCTTTAAGGCAGTGTTCCCCAATGCGGCGCCCGCCGGGCCATTTATGTGTGCCCACCTAGTGCCCAGCCAGAGAGAAGCCGCAACCCCGTGCCTGCTGGGGACAGAGTTCTCCGGGGCTGCGGGCACCGGTGTTCTCTGTCCTCACGGCTTCTCTCCGGCTTCTCTCTCCTCTCTGGATTCATATATTATGTAATATTAAATATGATGTTTTTCATATTATTTAATGTACAAATACAAAATAAGCCTTGAAAAATTGTTGGCGCCCGCCACCCTCTTCTGAAAACATGAATGTGCTACTGGCCACAAAAAGGTTGGGGACCACTGCTTTAAGGGGAAGGAGGATGTAGTCAAGAAGTAAGGAACTACCCTGACTTGCAACAGAATCCTTAATTATGAGTTGGAGCAATGCAGTGATTTTTGTGGGTGTCCCCACCCCAACTGAGAAGCAGGGATGGTGGTGGAGAGAGCAAAGCTAGATGTTTCTTGTCAGAGCTGAAAGAGCAACATGGGCCCTCGAGGTATTCAATTGGGGACGGGGTGGGGGAGGGGAGAAACAGATAAAGAAGACACCACATTCCTTGAGGAGAATGCTGCTTCACACTAATTGGTTGTCACTTTTTCTGAATTTCCTTCCAGGACAAGTAATGATATTGGCCACACAGAATGATATCACTGCAACACGAGGCAACATCAAGTTCTAATGTATCACAACATCACTCAACTATGTGATGATGCATGCAAGCAGCCTGGTACTGAAATTCATGGGATTTTTTTTCCAAACAACACTTCCTGCATATTAATCTCACAGGATGTCTGAAAATCCAGATAGTTTTGTGACACATTTTACTCTCCTTTAGCCATGGACACACTTTCCAACCATCTCCTTCCAAAGCGCTCTCCCACTGCACACACCCAAAATTTAATATTACATCCACCGCCTTTCTGGCCAAACAGTGGAGAGATCCCTCAACAAAGCTCATTTGTGTTACACCTTGGTCACCCCGAGAGACAACACATGTGCAGAAGCATGAACTCCACCTGAATGGTTGAGCACAGTACCTCTATGTTACACAAGGGACTAGGTTATAAAAAAAAATGACAGGCAGCATATTTTTCAGAAAATGTCACATTCACATGAAAAAGGGAAAGTAATATAGTTATGTTTTAATACTGTTTTAATTAACGGCATGGCTAATATTTTATAGTCTCACAAATAATGCATTAATTATTAGCAAGTACTTTCAATTAGCTTCAGACTTTTTTGTTTCCAACAAAGGAACAATATTCATCTTTACAGAGCTAATAGCAGAAACTCTTGAATGCAGTATTTCTGTTTATCTGATCCTTGGTCATTTAGCCTCTGGCATAAGGCTTCAAGGGAGAAGAATCACAGCTTGAGAGTTGAAATGTTTGCCTCAGGGCACAACTATTAGGCCTGCATTGTATATCCACAGATAAATGTTGTCATTATAGGGTTCTATGTACCTTACAGGTAAGTATTAGCTATAGATTCACATTTTTAGAGACTAGAAAGCTCAGGGGACGGTCTACACTTGAAACGTTCATCAGCATAGCTACATCTCTCAAGAGTGTGAAAAATCCACACACCTTAAGAGATGTAGCTATGCCAACCTAACCCCTGGTACTGACAGCACCAGGTCAACAAAAGAATTCTTCTGTCGACTTAGCCACCGCCTTTCAGGGCAATGAAAGGAGAACCCCTCCCGTTGCTGTAGTGAGTATCTACACTGAAGCTCTACAGTGGCACAGTTGCAGCTGTGCTACGGTAGCGTTTTAAGTGTAGACATAGCCTAAAAAGTTAACATAGTGTAACAGTGGCCCAAACTGCATTTCAGTTTTTAAAAGTACAAACAAAACCTTAAGGGGCCTTATTAATTAATTAATAATAAATATTAAATAAATAATAAATAATAATAATAATACATATTAATTAATAAATTAATAAGATTTTGTGTTACCTAACAGACAAGAAAATGTATACATGCATAACAAACATTAATAATATAGCACATTGACAGAATCTTTCATTGTATCTGAAAGCAGTTTATGTAATATGAAGTCGGACAACACTCCTACATGGCAGGTAATGAATTGTAAGTATTTAACCTAATAGTCTGCTATGAGTTTTTCAAGATACATGATCCTAAACCACATTCACAAAAGATTATGGCAATGAAAAAATGGGAATATGGGACACAGAAGAATATCTTGCCATCAGCTAAATAAGGAAAGTATTAGAAATGTTGCTAAGAAATAGTCTTATAAATATTAATCCAAACTTTAATTTTCCTGTGAAGCTGTTTTGAGGTAATACATTGCAGATTTTTGGAAAATCTATCACACGGTGCAGCCTTTCAGATCTGTTATGGAGGAGGTTATACATACTGTCATAGGTCTGACTAAGTATGCTTTAATATGTTTAACTCCTAATAAGGAACAAAACAAATGGCTCCTTGAACACTAGCTGCTGTAATGTATTCATAAGTAATTCAATAAGATTAAATTGTGAGGGACTTCATTTACCTCAGACTCAAAATAGGCATCTTTTTAAAAAAAAAAATAACCAGTTTGTGGAATACTGCTTTTAATGAAATGAGTAAAAGCAGGATTCTGACACACGGTTGGCAGGCGCTATGGAGAAGTAACTGTACTAACTTCAAGAGCCGGCGCTAGGCATAAGCCGACTAAGCAATTGCTTTAGAGCCCCGAGCAGCTCAAGGGGGCCCCCTATTAATTATTAGTATGCGTTTGGGGGAGGGGAATATTCCTGCCTAGGGTCCTCAATAAAGTAGCACCGCTGCTGCTAACTTGTCTTTGTGAAGCCTCTGGGTGCATCAATCAGTACCATTACAAAAGCCCTTAATTAGAGATTGCAAGTTTCATGTCCCTTTTAAATCCTACTACTAGAGAATGGTCACAGATCAATGTAGTATCTGCAAAGCATGTGGAAATCTAAAATTGCAGTTACATCAGCTTTGAGTGGGTTGCCTGGAGCTGAGACTGATCAATAGTGAAGGTAAGCAAGCTGATTTTGAGAGACAAGGAAAACCACCTAATTGATTTGTCATATTACTTCCATTTGAAATTATAAACCTCTATACTGAGGGCTGGCTCCTTTCAAGTAGCGAAGAGGACTTGACAAAATTTCTCAGTCATCATTTCAGTGGATCTCTGCCTTCCCAAGAACCAAGCTGTGAGTAAATGAACTGTTGAGTTTGTAAATCTTGCAGGTTATATAACATGAAGATAAAACAAGGAGTCAAGGATGTCTCAGGTGCACCATCAATCAATATAAGTCACACATACACAAAAAAGATTTGCACAGAAGGTAACTCTGCTATTGGATTTGGCCTTAGCTTTATTTCAAAGGCTTCACTGAAAAAAGTTATTCACTCCCATACTTGTATTTGTTTGGGACAGTAACATTAGTTAATTATAGTTATACTACTTGGAGATTTCCTACCCAGACACGATAGCTTTCATAGGCAAATAAAGATACATTACAATCACAGTCATCACCACGAGCTCTTTCTGGGATCTGCTGGTACCCTCTACCTAATTATGGGCGGGAAACACCGCACAGAAATAATTCTACAGTCTAAAGCTTATTTCCCAGCAGTCTGAAAGTAATAAATATCAAGAACTAAGAAAATGGAAGTTGTGATTATGATACATTGGAAAATATATACATAAAAAGCGTTTCACAGTAGTAGTGTTTAGAGGGTAAAAGTGATTTTTGTGTCAATAAACACTTCCACTTCCAGCACTCAAGGAGCAGACCTAATATTTGTGCTGTGAGGCAAAAGTCTTTACCTTTGGACTACAAATTCACCTCTGCTGATAGCATGCATCACAGCTTGAGCAGGTTGAAAAAATGTTTACAATTTTTTTTCCTGTCAAAAACAATGCCAGGATGGAACTAAACATTTTGAAAGGTCTCTGCTTCATTCTGTATTAGAATGAAAACAATTTTCAAAACCTCAAATTTTGATGTTTTCTAGCCAGCCCTAATTACAGGCAGTATGACCCAGATGTAGCAATCCAAAGATAATTTCAGGCAAATTATTTTACAACCAGCACTACAATAATATGGTGTACAAAGCAGGTGATGCCTTAAATGCATCCTTCCTACAACCCTGAATATTATTCTCAATATTTTATCATCTATATTTAAATTATCAGAAAGTACAGAATCGCAAAGGTTAATCTTTATCAAACTGCCTCTCACGTGTACCTCCCAACACTGATTAATGAACAACTTTAATAAATCT